GACATAAACTGGACCTGCAAACCACTACAGATTATCCCAGATATAGATAGATTAATGAACTGATGTATAATCTGCTAAAGATATTGTATACTTCTGCCAATGAAGTCACCATTACTCCGTGCTCAACGGAGAACTAGGTCCTAAGTCTTTGTCTCCGAACACCTGAAACAACACCATCATAACACCGAACGCGTCTTTTCACGTTTGAGACTAAAAGTCTCCGTGGTAAGTCCGCCACTATAGCTAATGACAGACCCGCAGCACATATGTCTTAACTAGCCTGTCTTGGCCTTTGCCTTATGCGCCTCAATCTCCGCCTTGACCTTTCGCTGTCTCATCTCCATCTCGGCCTTGATTTCTTCCACGGCCTCGTTGAAATCGCCCTCGATATCCTTGGAGATACCCAAAATGGGCTCCTTGCCCGTTAGACTATCCGTTGAGATGGAGCGCACCAACTTAGCGCTAGCTCGGCCCTGACGCTTCTCGAGCTGCTTCTTAAGGGCGGCCTTTCCAGGAGAAGAGAAGAAGACAAGTGACAAAAAGGTCCAGATGACAGCGTAGAAGTAGACACGAGACCAGGCTAGCAGTGAGCCCTGTAATGTGAGGACAAGGAAAGGTGCTGTGGCAAAGGTGAAGGTGAGTTGAGTAGCAAGGTAAGATATGAAGTCGTAGTACTTCTTCTTGGGCGAGGGATTGCCAGTGATAGGTTCTAGGAAGAAAGGACGAACATGACGGCGGTAATCTAGAAATTGTCAGTATCATTCATATGTCTCAGGGCTCCCAGATAAACTTACGCTTTGCAGCTGTCTGAATGAAGCTTGCAAGGACAAAGCTAAGGTAGTATCCGGGATAAAAGCCATGCCAGAGAGCGCTTGTGCCAAAGGTCATGAGACTAGCGCGAAAACCAGGCTTCTTGCCTCGAGGCGTGACACGCAGATAGACGTAGTTCCTCAACCAGTTGCTCGTGTTGATGTTCCATCCTCCAAGATAACCTCGGGGGTTCTGCGCAGTCTCAACAGCCCAAGGATCAATGTTCTGCAATCGGTTCCAGAAGACCTTGCCCGTAACAGGGTCAACACCGTTATAGCCCATACCCGCGAGGATGCAGGAACCCTCTGTAAGGTACCAAACACCATAGTATTTGAGTCGTGCAGTGAAGCTAACCATGTGCATGATCCAGACACGGCGAAGGAAACCGTACTTCATGTAGATATCGGAGGTGAGCAGGCCGGGGTAGTATGAACCACCTAGACCCATGAACATTGCAATAAGAAAGAGACCACTCGCTGCCTTCCAAGCTGCAGGGCCACCACTTCGAGGAATCTTTCGCTTCTTCCTCACGGGAGGCTTCTTTGCTGGATCGACGTTGGGTGCGTCAAACATAGTCGTGTCAAGCCATTTACGATAGTCGGTGAAGTCGAAGGACGGACCAGCGAAGAGCGCAGGGAAGAAAAGCACCCAGCCAGCATAGTCCAAAATAGGAGGCAGCTCCTTAAGCATGTTTCTCTTTTGGAAATCAGACAGATACTCCTCAGGAAGTTGGCCGTCAGCAACGTTCCAGCAAAAGGCACTCAGCTTCATGAGAAGCACCATCTGAGCGCCTGTGACGTCAGCCTTTGTTGGGTCGTCAGCAGCTTGACGGGCGATATGGCTTAGGGACATGTGGCCCATGACGAAAGCGAAGCCAATCCATGGCATATAGGGGCTCGTTCGAAGGAATTTGGCGATGCAGTATGTTCCTCCTGCGCTGATGAAGAGAGTTCGGACACCATCCCACAGGTCAAATAGACCGACAAGGTAGAAGATTGATACGCTTGGTTGAACATGTTAGTGAGACTGAACATGGGCTGAGAGGCTGTTGGCATGTCGTACCTAATGGCAAAGAGATTCTTGAGATCTGGTCTGGAGTCGGGAATTCGTTTAAGGAGAGCGGCGAGGGGGAATGATATTAAGAACGAGGTGACGAGTTTGACTGAGGTCGTGTTAGAGATCAATCTGAGCTTGGGGAAGCTTTGAGGAGAACTCACGATCGTCTGGAGCAGCACCAACAGTGTCTGCCAAGGCCACGAAAGCTATACAAGTAAGATTAGTTAGTGAAATAGAGCCGTTGCATGAGAAATGAAGCTTGAAACTTACGCCTATGCAGAAAGTACAGCATCTTGCTAGCGGTTAAGGTACCTCAGCATACAATACTAGTGGAGTCCAAGTGCTTCCAAATTCTATACAATTTAACAGGAAATAAAAGGGAGATATTAGGAATTGTGCGTTGGCCTCCGCTATATCATGGCGTGAGACAGAAAGAGATAGTTCCTTTGGTTGATTGATCGAACGGTGAGGGACGTCATTTCTATCCCTTGCTTTATCTAGGTAGGGTAAAATAGAGTGGAAGAAAAGATCCCTGTAACAGCAGCCCCGCTACTGTTCAAGATCAGCCTTATCGCCGATTGGGTCAGGTGACCCTCAACGACACCTCACGAAAATCCCGTAGTTAGATTCTTCTCTTCCTCAGGCAAGCTTTAGTCAATACAATACTCTTGAGCCGACCTAGCTTTCTTATTACCCAACTACTATAATAAATACAAAATCTTATTCTTGATTCAAGTTCTTATAGTTATTTAATTTTTCTTTTAAAAGAAAAATATAAGATATAAAATGTGAAATTAAAACTTTTAAAATATACTATAAATCTTAATTTTATTTTATAATATATATACAACCTCTTTAGTTTAATAAGTAGTAGCCAGGGGGACTACTAGTTATAATATTATTAAAATATTATATTCTTGCCACTTCGAAAGTCCCTGTGCCCCATGCCTTGATGGAGGGGTGGTATGAATCAATGCCGTGTTTCTAGATGTGAACTCTGCAATGCATGCACCTCGAGGCTCGTGGTACTAACAAGTAAATCCCTGTATATCCAGTAGTACAGAAGCAATTTAAATGTTGGGCAGCTCCATGGCAACTCGCCAGCAGCCCTGAGTCTCATATCCCTCTAAGCTGTCTGGCGCCACACACTCTTCATCATGTTGGTAGCGGGCCATGTAGCAATAGCCGCGACCATAAGCTCTGGCATAAGCCCTTCTTCGGTGCTCCAGTGAGCCGACAGAGGCATCCATGGAAGTGTACCAAGAACCTCGGCCTTCCAGTTGTTCTTCCACTCCTCTTCAGCGGCGACATCGCCGTTTGTTGTTCGGCGCGCACGTTCAACCAGCAAACGGACGAGCTCGAGGGCGACCCACGCGCACCATGAGCGAGCAGCCATGATACCTAGCTTGGCGCTGGTCTTTGGCGAAAGGTTGGTAGCGCCCTTACAGGTCAGCCAGCAAGCGCCTTCGCCGACGTTGTAGACCAAGTTGCAAATGATCTGCACAGTCATGAAAGCAGTATTGACTCGGTTGGGAGCAGGCACCTTTTCGCCATTCGCGTCGAGTTTTTGACCACGTAGACGAAGGATCAGATCCTTGGCCTCTAGATATGTGCCGATTATACCCCACATACGGTTCATAGTGCGCCACTCACCCAACATGTTGGTGAAGCCCTGGATGTACTTGGACAGATTGAGGGCTAGAGTCGCAAGAGGCGGCGCAGTCGCGGTAGAAAGGACGACGGAGGTCGAGGGCGGGAGCTTGAAAGCCATCTCGACGACCTTGCGAGCGGAGTGACGAAGCGTAGTGCGACCCAGAATGTTGAGAATAGCACCGATCAAGCGAGCGGCATAAGTTGTGAAGAGGAGGACAGTATCTGTGCCTCTTCGCGTCTGAATGACGCGGTTGAGATGTTCGACGAAGTCATCTATGGCAGACGGCGACTTGAGGAGTCGCGCGAGAGGACTAGAGTTTTGTGCGACATTTTTGTTTTTATTGTTGCTTGTGGTGTTGATGTTGGAGTTGGAGTTGGAGTTGAGGCTCTTTTCGATGGGCTCGGCCGGAGGTGCATCGGCGACGACGGGCTCCGCTGAGGGAATGACGATGGCCTCGGCGGGGGACTCAACTACAGCTATTTCTGTTTCTGTCATGGCGGCGGATGATTTGGGAGGGAGAAGCTCACGGTGAGCATCGAGAGTAGTAAAAGAAAATAGAATAAAAATGTAGTAAAAATAACAGAAGACAAAAAACTTGGCAAATGGAGGTCAACGTATGTATGTAACAAAGAACCAAGTATGGTCTGGCCTTACCTAGGTTATTAGCGGTCTCAGGGACGACGTGGGGACATGAATTTTTATCAATCAGCACATCTACCATGTACCTTTATCCTCTAGTGGGCGCTTTTCGCTGTGTTGACCGAGGCCGCAGGTGAAAACTCCGTAATCCTCAAAGGACCCGTGCCTCGGTAGTGGAGTTGGGTGAATGTGATTCGTGCGTGGGCCCGAGATATTTACTCGGTAGACAAGGATGATCGAGCAAAGGATAGAACTCGTTCGATTATATACATTGTGATAAACTTAGCTGTTGTATTCGATATATTTCGATCATCTATCTTACAGTCTGTATCGAATATTTGAGCATATGTACTGTTGAGCCTTGAATATGGCTCATCGTTGGACTCCAACGGAAGCTCCCGGATATGTGGAATGTCCAGATTAGGCAATTTTCTCCTGAAGCCTTCCTTTGTGTGACCAAAATGAGGCATTACGGCATATTTCTTTGTTGAGAGTTACTCAACTGGAACAACATAGACTAGGTACTATTTGTCTTTGTCTTGACGTGTGAGATTTGTCGGGTCTGTTTCCGAGTAGAACACATGCAATCTTGAGAAAACGAGAGCTACGGGTCATGAGCCGACGCAAACTACGGACAACACTGCGTGCTTGCATCAAAATGATAACAGCTTCCAATATAATTATGTTTTCAGGCTCCAAAAATTCTCAGGCTTTAAGAACTGACCACCTTGTCGCCTGAAGATGCCTTGTTCAGGGCAATCGGCGGTCTACGGGTAACGTGACCTCGTGTCCAACCCGTGTAACAGAATGTGGACATTCGCGTACACTCTTTCTTCCTTCATCGCGTTGCTGCCTTGAGTTTACGAGAATCAAATGCTTCTCTTTACCTGAACTCGGTATCGCTTTGGAGCCCACGTGGGCCTGAGCTTTTCAGCTGAAGTCTTTATTCAGCCAAAGCTGAGCTGAACGAGGTTAGCGGAGGCTGGTGCCTTATTGGCTTGGCAAGGGTCAATATTCAACCTCACTTCAACAATCTGTCTCAGTGTATATAAGGCCATGTTTAGGTCTTTCACCAGGACTATAACGACATCCATCGCACGCTCCACAAGCAGAAAAATGCCAACGCCTCAAGAAATCAAGCTTCCTGGCTTCGGCCTCCCTATCAGCTACGCTAGTGCCCATTTTCCAGTTGTCCTTGGTATGGAGGAGGGAGAAGGAGAGGGAGACTGGAGAGCCAGCACTTTGACAATTCGAGAAGTCTGCATGATCAAAGTCATCGAGGACCTCACGAACAAGCCCGAGTGGTGGATCAAAGTCAATGATGATGAGATTACTGCCAAGTGGAAGAAGGAGGCTATGGAGATGCCATGGGGAGAGTATCGAGTATACGGTGATTTCACTCAGGCCATGGCCGATGCTGTGAGTGACATCTCTCAGCCAAATACAAATGTCTCGCTAAACCACGATAGTGTATCAAGGAATTGCGCAAAAAGGCAGATATCTACCAAAAGACTGGCCTCATTCCTGTCATGGACTACGCTTCTGCCGCCATTAAATCAGACAACTTGGTCCCTAAAGACCTCCGAGATGCTCTCGTAGCTGCCGTTTCCCCTTTGGAAAATGTCCCCGAGGAGCGCAAGGACTGGCATCCTGGCAGTGATGGCAAGGTCCTTGACATCGTCCACCCTTCCCTGTGGCCGCTTGTCTACGGGCGATCTCTCATCCTCCCCGACAAGCGCATCGATCTCGAAGAAGCGTTGTCGCATTGCGGGAAAGGCGTCGTTGTCCCTGTGGACAACAGTGATGACACCATGTGGCCTTCCAGTGCCTTTTCTAAACGCTTCCAGTGGCTCCCTTGCGACGTTGACCTGACTGGCGTGAATCCTCGCATCGACAGCTACATCAACAATGTGCACCCGGCCAAACATGCCGAGCTCTACCCCGTTATTGAGAAATTCATCGAGAAATCTCTCCCGGCTTGGGATGTCATCTATCGATGGCATGACGATTTCGAAGTCCAACGTGTCTTCACCAAAAATGTTCGACCAGATTGCAAAGCTCCAGAAATTTGCGGGGATGACTGGTGCTCAGCCCAGAATCGGCCACTGGATGACGATGAGGCGCCTCGTAGAGAGGATGAGGACTACGAAGAAGATTACGAGGAATCTGATCGCAATAAACGCGACGAGGAATGGTTCAGGGAGACCCATGTTCCAGAACTTCCGGACCCTAAGACTGAATTGGAAGAGCTGGTCAAGATCAACCCTAGCGACGTAAAGACCTCAGGCTTTTTTGGCAACGCATCTCGTGTGCAAGTCATTGTCAAGCTTGCCAACATCCATCTCACCCCCGAGAAGCCAACTTACGACGGTGGTTCATGGCATGTCGAAGGCCAGTTGAATGAGCACATATGCGCGACTGCACTCTACTATTACGACTGCGATAACATCACTGATTCTCGCCTTGATTTTCGCACAGCTGCCAACAGAGAAGACCAAACTGTGGAGCTGAATTACGAGCAGGGCGACTTCGACAGCATCGAACGAGTCTTTGCTATTGATCCCGGTGCAGACTTACTCCAAAACATCGGCAGCGTCCTCACACGCCAGGATAGAATGCTCTTCTTCCCCAACGTGTATCAGCACCACGTCAGCCCCTTTGAACTGGCTGATAAGTCTCGCCCCGGCCACCGCAAAATCCTAGCACTGTTTTTGGTCGACCCTCAAGTTCCTATTATCTCAACTGCCAATGTCCCTCCCCAGCAGCGCGACTGGTGGGCCGAGGGCTTGCTCAAGAATGATCGTTTCAATAACTTACCCCCTGAGCTGACACGGATGGTGGTGGATAACTTGGATTTCCCTATTGATCTGGAGGATGCTAAGAAAATCCGAGAGGAACTCATGGCGGAAAGGACTAATCTGCAGGATACCCTTAACAGTGACCTCAAGAATCTTGAGTGGAATTTCTGCGAACACTAAACCGAGAGTCAGCTGTAGACCAAACTGTTATGGTTTTTCTGTTATCCCTAGCTTAAGACATCTCAAATAGAGTTGTGCACTTGATGAAACCTCAGCTTTCTAGCTTCTTTGAACATGGAATGTCCGATCTGTGTCTCCCTTAGTATTATAATATTCGCAGAGGCTAAGGAGCCATTGGCCTTGGCTAACTCCAAGAAGTGGGAAGCGGCGACACAGAAGCTGAATTATAGACTTCAGTCTCTGGCTATGCCAAGAGTATGGACCACATCTCGCATAGCCGTGTGTCAGATGTTTTGGCCACCAATAGTCACAAATGGGACCATGCCGAGACGTGGTTTAAGGGGATGATTTCAGAGAGCTGGCATGCCTTTTATAGATGACGACGTGGCCGGATATCTGTGGGTCAACAAGGCCTTTATATAAATACGGTAACTTAAAAATAAGTATATCAATAACGTTGTCCAAGTGTCTTTTCCTTCAGGCGGAGTTGATCTGGGGTCTATCTAGTAACAGTATATGTGAAAGCTATCTACACAACATATGATGCAGAAGACTACATTGATCAGTAGATTCTTATAGAAGATCAATCCTGATTCATTAGTGCGCCATATCACGAGTCATTCGCTTCAGATATGCCATAGGTCAACGAGTGTTGTAAGTCAGCTTCCAACCACCAACACGCGACATTAGAATTGTTGGCGCCGATCTGTGTATGTTCTATGATCCGATCTAAGCCCAATTCTAATAAAATAGTCTTTTGTTCCTGATTGACTTTTCACTGTTACAAGTCAACCTTGAACCTTGAGCATCCATCGTCAAGGTACAAAAGGATAGATCCAGGATAACCGTGGTTTTCTCCAGTGCATCGTTTGCAAGCAAGCTCTCACTCTACAAACTGCTCAATGCAATCCCCAACCAGCAAATGAAACCTGCCGCTTTGTTAGCATATTCCTCCCACGTCAGGTCCGTAAGAAATTAGACTGACGAGCGGATATGCCAAGCAGAAATCTACAAGGCTGATCCTCCCCCTGCGCAGGATCAGACCAGAACCGGTAAGTTTGATGGGATCCGACCCTTGAACGACATGGAGACAAGTCAGGCCGTTTACACGAAAATCCGAAAAAATCAAGATATGATTTGGAGGATTTCACAGGTTCCTGCCTGGGTTTAAAGGATTAAACGAAGGTCTTGGCTGAATGGATCTGAGGTGGAAATCAGGGCTGAATGTGGAGTTTTGCTGGGCTGAGCGTTGCATCGCTTCGTGTGTCAAGGCGCAGTTGTAGTTTTATATACCTATTGACTCCTGAGTTGTCTGAAGGAGTTTTCTCTTGATTCTGACTCTTTTTGCCCCGATCTTTTCTTTTGAGTACTGCTGCTCTGTGGGGGTTGACATTATCACATACGCTCAAGTCCTACCTCTCACAACCACCGCTCGTTACTATTGGGATCGACAAAGGCTACCAGATACCCAGTCCTTCCTCATCACTTCAAACAACTCAACTTACTGGGAAACAATATATAAACTCAGTATACTCTGTACGACATCATCATGGGCATTCTCGACGATCTTATTCCCAGGCCTACGGCTCCTCCAGCTACAAGAACACTCGAACGACGAGCAGTAACTAGTAGTCAGACAACAACCGAAGAGATCACCATCACAATCGCCCCAGATAATACTTGCGGATACATCTCAGAACGACTTGGAGCCAGCAGAGCGTGTCCACTTAACGATTGGTGCTACTTCTTCCCGCCCGTGCCAGCCCAATCATTCACAAACGGCGGTGTTTTATGCTGTGGAGAAACATCTTGTCAATATCATGCAACATGTGTAAACTCGGAGGAGTACTTTGTGTCGAGTAAATGCGATGGTGGCTGCGAGGTTGACAACTACACCCTGAAATGGTAACTCACTCCCTTCTCATCTCATATCATCGGCCATACTTAATAATTCCATAGCACAGACTCAGCATCTCCTTATTGTAATACTGTATCATGGGAGGGAAGCACATTCGATTATTGGTGCAACGACCTCGATATCTCCACAGCTCAAAGCGCCGCGCTCACCTACAAGGGCCAAACATCACGAGAATTCGGCACCATTAATGAGCGAGACTACAGCTCTCTGCTGTCGCAAATGACCGAAGCAAAAACTGAGGGAAGTGTCAATGCCGAAGCGACAGGAACAGCGACATCTCAATCTACCGCTACTGAGACAAACAAAGATAGTGGCAGCTCAGGAACTCCCGTAGGCGCAATCGCTGGAGGAACGGTCGGAGGCGTAGCAGCACTTGCTATCATCGGCGTAGCAGTGTTTTTCTTCCTCCGCCGAAAGAAGAAGAGCAAAGCTTCAAGTTCATCAAAATACCAACAAGCACCTGGAGGTGATAAACCGGGGTGGAACCAGCAACAGCAACAGGGTGGCTACTACTACGATCCAAATTCACCGTCCACGGGTTACAATGGAAGCCCAAATGGTCAGTATGGATATCAACAAGCTGGAGGCTATCCTGCTGGGCATCAACAGCCTGCTATTCATGAAGCGGGCGGTGAGGCCGTAGGGAGCATCCCTCAAGAGCTTCCGGATAGTGGACGTGGGAAAAAGAAGCCTGTAGAGCTTGCTTGAGCGTTTGGATTTAGCGTTGTAGAGGCTTGAGTTATGTGCCTACCGTATACTGAGACGATCCAGTCCTTATATCTTAATCTGCAAATATCCTCTTCATTATCTCGACGTCACGAGAATGCGTTATGCAAACAGATCCACTATCAGGGCTGAGTGCAACCACAGTCTCGATACTTGTTGCGAAACAATAGGAAACGAATAGAGACGGTTATATCATAGATACTCCATAATAATTTGTTTCAATTTTTTCCATCATGAGAAGAGTGGATTTGACGTTGGATATTTTTGGTGATGTTGATTTTGATGCCCCATTTCTATGCCAACTACGTCATCGCCTGACCAAACTTTATTATCTGGGTGCATTTGCGCTCGCTAGCATGCGACCTCATGCCTAAACCAAACCAAACCGACCACCTTCAAGCTTAGCCCAACTCAATCAATACATGCAACTACTATAACTCGCGTACATCAATTTAGCGGGCCCCCTTACATCGGACGTCACATTCATACCAAATCATGTCCTCTAAATGGACCTTCAAGGCCCAACCTGGCATCTTTGTTGAACTCGCTGACATTGCCCATGAATATCCTGGAGAAAAAGTCACGACGCAACCAAACCTAGGCCTCATCCCAGATCAAAAATATCCTTCGGATGATCCAGATGCCCCAGATCAAAGGGACTGGGCTCGTCTCGCGGCATATGTGAGATGGCTCAATGAGAATAGCTCCGACAATGTCTCATACAAAGTCTTGTACCTCACACGACATGGCCTTGGGGTACACAATAAGATGCACGCCCAAGTAGGCTCCGAAGCGTGGAATGTGTGTATTATCATTTCAGTCAATATTAATTCATTTACTAACATGAGCAGACAAGAGTGTCATTCCAAAATGGGGACGGTAAAGAAACCTGGTTTGACGCCTTTCTCACCGAAGTCGGTGAAAAGCAAGCTCAAGATCTCAACTCCTTCTGGACCGATCTCATCGAAAAGCAAGGCGCACCACAGCCCAGAATCTTTTACACAAGTCCTCTAGCGAGATGTCTTCAGACAACTGACATCGTCTTCTCACCACTCATGACCTCACAATCACCGCCTCAGCAACCTATCGTCAAAGAACTCCTCAGAGAGCGCATCACTCGCCACACCTGCGACTACAGGAGGGATCGCACATGGATAGCCGAAAACTACCCCAGCTATAAGATCGAAGATGGGTTTGAGGAGGAGGACCAGTTTACCAACAGAGTTGAGCCAGAGACTGATGAGGAGCATATTGTAAGGAAACAGAGGGCTTTGGAGGATATATTCAATGAGACGACGAAAGACGACGACTTTATATCGTTGACGGTTCATTCGTACGCGATTCGAGCGATTCAGGCTGCCGTGGGAAGTGGTGTTTGTCGGACACGTGAAGGGACAAGTATCGCGATACTTGTCAGGGGCGAGAAGGACGGAGAGGCAGACGGTCCAGAGCTGGACATGAATGACTATGTGTCAGCGGATCCTGAGGGCGTGAGCTCATTGAGAAGATTCTCCATGTGATGGATGTCGAAAACAGATGGAGTAGATAAATGATATACCGCTAGATCAAAGACATAATGTAACGACGATGCGTTGTTATCTTCCTATCAAATTGGCTATACTTCTTTGACATTCAAGATCATCATGTTTAAAGCCTGGATACCTTAGGTACCTTTAGTACTTACCTATAGAGTGGGTGCTCTCTCGAATGACGTTCTACCTTACTTCTATTGTCATATTTCAAAGGTTGGATAACTCAGAGTAACTTATCTTATCGGTGGAGACTTGAAAGCGCCTACCTATTTGATTGAGATCCCAGGTATCAAACTGATGGAAAGAGGTATTAGTTATTAAAGACAGACCTACCTTAGGTAAGGTAGGTACGTACTCGGACTTTTTCTTTTACTTCTTTTGGTAGGCGTGATCTGCACCCGAAGGCTTTCCTTAATGGCCTTCGTTTGTCCTTGCAATCCATCAACACCATTATTCTTCTTACATATTACATCTTACATCTTCAGCCTTACAACAGAAAGCAGTCAAAATGCCGTTAAAGAATTATGGAGTTTGAAAGGGCAAGCTCAAGGCCACAAGTGTAAACAAGGACGACCTCCTCTCAAATCACTTCTACCTCCATTTCGATTTCGATGTCGATAACAACAACCAGCCCCAAGAATACCGCGCTTGCATCAATTACCGCACATTCAGTTAGGAAAGTGTTCGGCTTGTATGTTGGCTTCAGCAAGGCTTCTCTCTTGTTGTGAGTCAAATCAGTCAAGACTTTCCACAAGGCTAGACCGAGATGGCATCGCCCGTGACACTGCTCGTGACACCGGGTCACCGCCCAGCCAGGCTCGATTATCTTCGAGGATGCATCAAATATATTCCGAGTGGAGAGGAAAGTTGTTCACCTGACAATATCACCGATTATCTGGAGCCCTTCTTCGAAAACGCGATTGAGAAGGGGGTAACGGCCTACATATTCGGGGAATTCCGTCGAGGCCTCAAAAAGATAAACCAGATTCACATGAATCAAGGTAGTGTCGGGCGGTTTAAAAAGAAAAACGCTATTGGGCAAGACGGGGGAGTTCTACTCGAATTCTCAGATGGTCACTAGGAGGCCTTATTCATCGCCTTCCATGAACAAGGCTCTCAAACGGATACAGACGGTCGGTCGATCCGTCCAAATCTCGGCAGCCAAGCCGAATATTGCGAAGAAAATCCAGTTACAGGAACAGGTGCAAGAGTCCGAAGAGTCACTGATACCAAATACCCACCTGTCGGTATCACCGCCCTGCTCTATCCAGATTACAGTTACGAGGCCGTTTATCCCCACGGCGAACCAGTGTGTCATCTCACCATTTGCAACATAACAAAAGACAAAGTGGTGGATCTCACAGGGTGGGAAATATCCCCCAGCGGGTCGGCGGAAGTCCACACCATCCAAGATGTACAGTTTTCGCCAGTTGGGGGCCGATCCAGCTTGAGAGTTTCACCTAAATGGTTTCCAGGTCCTGGGGGCACCATATATCTGCGAAACCGGGAGAACATAGTAGTTGACAAGGTCAGCTTTTACCAAGAGTTGGTGCAAAAGTCAGGAAGACTTCTCTACTTTGGACAGACTCGTGAATGGACTGTTTGGTAAGTGAGGACAATGCCCTCAATCTTCCCGATCAGCAAGCTTACAAAGGTTTAAACGTCTCATTATTCGCGGGGATTATTAGCGAAAGATCTCGGCTGGCCAGAAAGCCCGAAGTCAAAGAATTAAAAATTAAAAGGGCCACGCGAATGGCATTAGCTGCTATGATGAAGTCCTGTCTCCCTTGCGCTGTCTCATGAACCCAAAACGCCAGTCTTCGACTCACTATTTATGCGTAACAACATACTGTCGCCGAGTGGCCATTATTAGAAGATGTGCTGTCGAGCCACGTTTACCACCACTTGAATGTGCTGGTCCATGTCTTCCAAGGACCACGCCTGGAGGGAATCTTGTTCTCAGGGACAGAGATCTCGTAACCATCGTCGACATCCTTGGAGACACTCTTGGAGGTCCACGAGTTATCATCGGTCTGGAGCCACTTGTTGAATCGGCCCTTGTCCTTGTGGCGGTAGGACTCGACGGGTTGAGGGAGGACCTTTGTGCACTCGGTAAGGTCGTTGATGTTGTTTACACCTAGAAGACTGAGACGGACATAGGCACGGGCATAGTCCTAGATCTGGTTAGTAAAGCGTTCTTAATATGTTTGGGGCTGGCGAAACTTACCACGTTCCAAGCGGCCTGACCAGTGCTGCCGCTGGCAAAGGCCTCAAAAGCAGGCTGAGTGAGAGGATGGTTGGCGAGAGCCACATCACTAGGGAACTTGTAGACACGCTTGGGGGCATTCTGATCAATGGTTTGCTGGTAGAAGAGAATATCCCAGACACCAGGAGTGCTGTCCTGAGGGTCACCGTCACGATCAATGTTGGTGTGATGCTGCTGAGAGGTTGTGTGCGCGCCGATAAGGGCAACAAGGTCATCGGGGCCAATTGTCTTGTCCTTGAAGAGGTTAATCAGAGTGAGAGCATCAGAGTCAACGCGAGGCAGAAGACCGCCGAGGTTGGCTTTCGTGCTATCCTTGCGTCCAACGAAGGAGCGAACACGGGGACCGAGAGGGCAGGTAACGGCAGCAATGTTGGAGCCCATTTGGATAAGATCAGCCATGGTGACCTGGGTGAAACCATACTGAGTGTGGTACTTGTTGTAGATGGTCTGGTAGTACTCGCCAATCTGCTGAAGACCCATGTTCTCGCCACGGGTGAGCTCGTTGGAGAGAATGATGGAGCCATCAGCACCACCGCCTTGGGAAGCGGTCTTGAGAGACCAGGTACCGGCATCGTGGAAGCCAATGCGTACAGCATATCGAGCCCATCGCGTGCAACGGCCTGCCTCACCCCTGAACTTGTCCTCGAGTTCGTTGGAGATGTACTGCCAAACACAGCAGGTATCACGCTTGCAACGTTGAGAGTTCATGGAAGGGCAGCCAAAATAGCGCTCGCGGCTGGTGGGGTTGCCGTTGCCTTGAAGGATCTTCTTGATGTCTCTGCCGACTGAAGTGAGTGACTTGTCACTGATGGTGACAAGGTCGCCAATGAGGGAGTGGGCATCAAAGTTGTCTCCGGACCAGCCATTGCCGTTACCATTGCCACTGCCACTGCCACTGCCACTACCTCCGCTGCTCTGGCCGGGCCAGGAGCTTGAACCGCCACTGTTGGTCTGTCCAGGCCAAGAACTGGAACCATCTCCATTGCCATTGCTTTGTCCAGGCCAAGAGCTAGAGCTTCCTCCATTATTCTGACCAGGCCACGAGCTTGACCCGCCGCCGTTGCCTTGTCCTGGCCACTTGTTTCCACCCCATCCACTGCCCCAGCTACGAGCAGCAATTCGTTCGATCTCCTTGATGGTCTCTCCCATGCCAGGGTGAGCAGCAGCCTCTGGGATAGGCGCAGCAGCCAGAGCAGCTGCAATAAGGACGGTAAACTTCATAGTTGCGATGAAAGATAGTTTGATAGTAGTGAGAAATATTAATGAGTGAATCAAGTTTGTATAAAAGAGCGAATAGTGCTTCTAGCGAGTGTATGAGAAGCAGATTAAGAACGAGTGTATAACGAAAAGAATGACGGGAGAAAAGAACGTAGAGTGATGGTGGCTCACCTGTTACAGAACTCAGCAGACAGGAGAGGAGCATCATGTATATATATGCCAGAGGCCTCTGCAGTCTCCAATGCCTCTATCAAGTCGTATTGACCAGACGCCGAGAACTCTCGGCACGACAATTCCAGGCCCCTGGTCTCTCCATAGAGCTTTCTTTCTAGCTCTGTGACTATGAAGGGCTCGATCAAGAAACAAACCCAACAAAAGACGCTTAAATAAACCCTGCAGTTCATCAACGGGACGGCATGTGTCTAGAACTCCTCAATATGGGGTCCCCTGTAGATATGACCGTCAGTGCGTAGTAATTGCTCACACACCACTCGACGTTGTAATCTCTTCCCGGTGAGTAGCTGACCTGTTTCTTTTCTCTGTTTCTAATTAGAGAAAGGATCTTTCCAGCTTCAGTAGTACCGATGCCACTGTCGCATGTGGATCATCGGTTGCGTGGAGAGCGCTGAGGCGTTGATGCATGACGCCTCGTCCCATTAAACAACGGTCTAAAGTTTCACGTCGGCTGAACCACTTGGGTTTTTGCGAGACTATCGGAAACCGGATGGGCCTAATCTCTTGGTAGCGGGTTTAGGACGGATAAGCCTGAGATTGTATGTCACCAGATGGGCTTGGTAGTGTAATGCCACGTTCATCTGTCAGATGCAGAGAACGTTGACCATTGTGGCGAGAGCTTTACACCAAAGTCTCAAGTTATTGTTCTCTCACCGTTGAATCCAACGTTTGGCTCGTGAATGTACGATTCGTAGCTTGCAGTAGTTCCAGGGGTACATGCAGCTGCGTGTAAGATGATACGCCTGTGTGTATCCACATGCATGTCGATCACCAACAAACAAACAAGCTCTGCCTCCTTTTGGTGGTTACCCGAGCGAGCACAGCACAACCACCAGATCAGGTTGGAGAAGCTTTCAGCTGAGAATCACATTGTTCCCATTGGACATCCAAGGTTAACCGAGACAAGTATTGCCTGCTAGGCAAAGGCAAGCGCCTGGCGCCAAGTCTCGAATTGCGGTGGATCGAACGAACATGATGGAAATTATCCTTGTTCAGGTGGATACGAACAAATCCGATGAAGCGGCGCGATCAGCCGAGAATCTGCCTGGACCGAACGGGAGAACTTCTCTATCTCTTGGCAGTTTCGAAATATTCGAGAAAGTGGTAGCGAGCCTCGATTGATTGAAAAGCAATATGGGTGATTGAAAGTTGACTTGTTGATGTGGGAGGACGATGAACTGTCTTGAAATTGTTAGGTCAGCCACCATCACATGACTCAACAGCACATGGCTTATATTTTATTATGCTTAATTGACAAGACTATTTACTCTATTAATTAATAGTAAGACAAAGGTTATTCTGAATCTAAACAATACTATCATTAAACAATTACGCTTCACAAAATTCAGGCTTCACTCACCACTACTAACAAACTCGTCACCCAAACTAACAAGACGCAGTAAAAAGGAGATGTCCAATCAAGATGCTATGAAAAGTAATAGTAGTTCGGAAATTTACCCCTGGCGCTAAAACGCAGTTGTGGCATCCAAACCAAACGAGCTCTTCCTTTGTTGGAATAGTTCATCCACCGTAGATAAACGGTGAGTTGAGCTGTGCCATGGCATGGAGAGCTGAAGAATTCAACCTTGCAGCGGAATCTGAAACAAATAGATCCATGTTACATCTCCAGATGCAACTCTTGTAGCAAACCGATCATATATCACTTGCCTTATCCGGGCCTTTCGTCCACCGCTTGTCAAATATAGATCCCGTATCTGATGCTGGATGGAGGCTATAAAATACTACGCCACCCCATGCACATTGGAGCGGCGATGGGGCGCATGGG